GTGATTTTTGGTTTCGGAGATATGACCTTGTTTTTTCAGGTCATGTCATGACCCAAATGGCCAATTCTCAACATCTTGCGTTTGCCATGGGCCTTGTGAGCTTTTAACACCTTGATTTCGGCCTTGTTTGCCAGTCTTACCTTCCACCTATCATGGAACATGTTGTTCGACGATGTACAGGTGTCAAGGTCAGGGTCAAGGTCAACCTAGGTCATCTAAGATAATTGCGTTTTAGGCAAGCTGAATTTACTTTTTGTGAAGTTTTTTGACTGCATTTTTGGTAAAAGCTTCTCAGATCATGATTTCATGTAATATGGACACAAAAACAATCGGTGCACACATCAGTTTACACACAGACACACACAGACATACAAACACATATAATTGACCTTGACCTAACTTGACCTGAAATGACCTCAGCAGCAAAAATCTGGTCGGGTAGTGTGACAAAGAGGTTCTAGCTGGCTTGGCACCAGAAAACAGCATCGTCATCGGTATATGATAAGCAGCGCACTTGATATCCAACGGTGACCCAAAACAGCAACATTTTTTAGTTTGACCCGACCTGGAAGGTCAATGACTGACCTGAGAAGGTAAAACTGGGTATCATTGGATTCGTCTCTTCCCAAAAAATCTTTTTGGTCTTTACCGCTAAGCTCTATCTCCAACAGGAACGAAATGGCGCGGGGGGTGGCAACCACCACCACCCCATGTGCGTTCTAGGATGGGAAAATGGCATGTGCGGGCGAGGGTTAAGCCATGCATTCTATAGAATGCCTAAGCGGTCAGGGATTCTGTAGAATGCCTAGGGATTCTATAGAATGCCTGATTGTAGGAGGTCTACGATATTGCTATGAGATGTACTATACAGAAGAGGAGCAGCCTCAAATCCAACCGAACAACCAACATACCATGAAATGTACAGTTTGCCTGTGCCGCAACCCTGCACGAGACTTGACATTGATAAAAATGGAAAGGCCACTTGAATATCATTATTTGTGTTCTAAACTAGTCGGTAATACAGTGAACCGCCAATGGTAGAAGGCTCTGTGGCTCCCCGTTCCCTCAACACTAGGTCCTCATCAACTGATAAAAGTTACGGAGCCCTATTCTCCGTTATAGTGTTAAAGGGACAGTATCATCGAAAAAAAGTCAATGTATGGAGCTGATTTTTTTTTACTAGCATTTCTTATTTTCCTGAATCAGAAAAACATAGTTTGAGGACCGAACTCGGTGAAAAATATTGCAACCACATTTCATTTTCATGATTCATTTTCATGAGCGAACCACCACTATACAAGCATGGCCGCCATTTTGGAAGCATGCAAAATTACTACAGAACTGGCGCAGATAATACATTATTGACGCTACGCTTACGCGGTCGTTCTTCTGATTGAGTTGTCCTTAGGGAGAGGTAGCCTTAGGTATTGCCTATAAAAATATCACGTAACAATTAGAGGGAGTGACAATTGGACGTGACAATTGACAATGGGAGAAAATATCACGTGACAATCACGTGATAAACGTCATACATTGGAGGGAGATTGTGATTCAAGCTGGAGGAATTCCTTTGTTGAGCCGCTAGAATCCGAAGGAAACAGCGGAAATTGCCTACGACTATTTAATGAATTTAACGGTGATGAAGAAGTGCGAACAACGTTTTGGCTTTATTAAATTTGATGAAATGACCAGGGTAAAAGTTTTATTACTGGCGGTCAATTCAAAACGGCGGAAACATTTAAACAGTGAAGATAGTGAAGCACGATTCAAAGTGTAGTACACCTTTCGTACTTTGAGCGGCGATAGCGGGATAACGGTGTGGAGCTTCGAGGATCGGTCTTCAGTTCCCGGACCAGAAAGGTGGGGCCTATGCAATGTCAAATTTCATCAAAATGGTGATACTGTCCCTTTAAAGCTGGAAATCGACTGATGGCTCTTCGACTGATGAATGCTGACGCTGTTCGCGGTAAGCATTTACAGCTATTCTGAATAGGCTACCAGCTCTGTACTTTGTAGACAAACATTGCGCATAAGACATCATTGGAAAATTGAATGCTGTTACTAATTTAATATTTGTGCTCAGGCATCTTGTATTTTGAGGTTTGTCGTAGAAATAAAATGAAAATATGATACAAAACTTAGCAGTTATCCTGCACATGCATACTTGCGTTGAAACGCTTATCTCTGGCTCCCTAAATCGCTTGTACAGCTATTGTTCTGGCTCCGATATTATCAGCGAATCGGCGCATTTTACCAGCCCTGAACAATCATGGCAGTTGCACCATCACGCAGATAATTCGAATAAATCATGATCGCCAACCAGATTAGCTTTTACAGCCCATATACAGGGTGTCTCACAAAAAGTGTACAGATTTAAAATGAAGATATTTCAGCATATAAGCACGCGCTCACGTCAAATGCAGGCTTAAATTGAACCTTAGCTCGTGCAAATTTATTTGACATACAATTTGTTAGTGAGTCATGAGACAGTTAAGTGAAGAGGAAAGGAAAATAATCGTGAAATTTTACCTTCAAACCGGTTCCCTGGTATTGACTCAGAGGAAATTTAGGGCTCATTTCCCTACAATAAGAGAGAAACCGCCGGCAAACACAATAAAACGGCTTACTGAACATTTCTTGGCTCACGGAACAGTCGGAAATCAAAACACTGGAAACAGCGGCCGCAAGATAACTGCCCGAACACCTTTGAAAATCGGACAAGTCATTCGACGAGTTGAGGAAAAGCCTGGAGTGTCCGTGCGGCACCTTGCGCAACAAGTTGGACTCAGCCGCTGTTCCACGCATCGGATTCTTAGGAAGGACCTGAAGCTTAAGGCATACAGGCTATCGACATCTCAAGAGCTTTCCAAGTCTGATTGCCTACAACGGTTGGAGCAAGGCCCTAAATACAAGGTTGCACGGACTTATTTCTACTAAACCTACCAGAATATAGTTTCACGGTTGATTATTTAATAATTCAATCAAAATTTCTTTATTATTATCTCATGATCATTTATCAGCAATTTTATAAATCAACTTTCAATTTGCTTGCCTTTTACTAGCAAAATAACTTTTCTAGTATTGGCTCAACATAGTGGTGTAGCAGTAGGAACCACATCTGGCAAAACCCCAATACCTACATACAGGAGAAAAGCAGCCACCAGGCGTCGCTACAGTCGCAGCACAGATGTCGCGCGCGTCGCCAATCGCCAAACTACCGATTGCCATAAGGATGCATATGTACGGATATGTAACGGAAATTCGCCCTTACGGATTATGCTTACATCCTTTGCTTATCAGGTCAATGGTTGGAAATTGGGAGGGTCTCGACTATTTTCGACCACGGATATGCCTTTATCACATGATGAGGAACATGCTGATAAGCGTTTTGTGTGTCACAACAGCACAAAAGTATTTTTAATCATTTTTCAAAAATAGCCGTTCTGCCGTATCTTTCAGTGCAAGGTGCCGTCGGTCATCCCCGACGTGACGTCACGCCGGGGATTTCCAGATTTTCCTACTAGACTTCGACGCCCCCTGGGTTGGAGTTTTGCCGTTGGTTTTTAGGAAAGTGCTCGTCTTGCCCCAGTTTCATCGGCAACATTTGGTGGTCCGACGAGGCACACTTTTACCTTCACGGCTTACCTAATCGTCAAAACCACAGACACTGGGGCAAACACCCGCCAGAGAAGACTTTGGAAGTCCCATTACATTCTCCAAAAGTGACGGTCTGGTGCGCGCTTAGCGCCCAGGGCATAATCGGACCGATCTTCTTTGAAGACGGTGACGGAGAACCAGTGACGGTGACTTCAGACCGTTATCTGGCAGTGTTGAAGCGCTTTTGGCGGTCTCTCAACAGCAAGTGCGCGGACACCATTTGCCTGCAATGGTTCCAGCAGGACGGCGCTCCAGCGCACACGTCAAGAGCCACGATGGCCTGGCTGACCGAGCGCCTGGGAAGCCGGCTGATCTCCAGGCGGGCCCCCCACAGATGGCCACCCCACTCACCCGACCTCACCCCCATGGATTTCTATCTATGGGGGTATCTGAAGGATGTCGTGTACGTGAAGGCGCCGCACACGCTAGACGAGCTCAAAAAGGCCATCAGAGGAGCCATACGCGGGATAACCATGGAGACATGCGCCCGTGTAGCCCAGGTGAGGAGACCATGAGGCGCGCCACCACGTGCGCTGAGCGCAAAGGCTGTCATTTTGAGCATCTAAAAAAATGAGCGCAGAGCTAGAGTATGGGAAACTGATTCGGTATGTGAATATAAAGATGTGCAAATGATATGCGAATAAATTTGCAAGCTTTGTGCTTTCCAGCGATATTTGTGTTTTTTACGTATGTTTTTAACTTACGGAGCTATTTAGTATTTACAAAACAAATATGTACACTTTTTGTGAGACACCCTGTATGTCCATCAGTTAAGTTAAAAATACAAAGAGTTGAATTAAAGGCAAATAAATGTATTTATATAAAAAACCACCGACCGCAAAACATCTGCTCACATGTGCATGCACACTGCACAGGTCTGGCCCACCTACATTGCGCGCGCAGGGGAAGGGAGGCGTCTCGACCGCGGGTATAGGCACGATTACTGATAAGTGCGTCCCGCAGGCCAGAGTGGGCCTCACTCACAGCACGAACACCGCCGTTCACAGATTTCACTATTCACTGCACAAATGCTGGAACAGCCCTCGTCGCTGCTCCATGCTGCACGGGGTTCGCGCAACAACTGCTGGTTCGGAACCGCCGGGGCCCGCTAACGGCCGCCGGCGACCGCTCATTAGTCCGCCGAGTCTGACGTTCAGGCGCAGATGATCATGTGTATGCTGACCAGCTGACCAGTACAAGTCAGACGCCGGTTACATAACCATGCGGCAACAAGTTTCCAAAACTGGTTAAGAAACAAACGTTGAAACAAATGTAGAGTTGGTCTGGATACTGAGAAGTGTTTCCGGCTGACCGGCTGACTGGTGTCTCCGTCTGTCCGGCAGGTGGGGCAGGCGGCAGCACGGCACCGACCACCAGTCCACTGCCGGCCCCGTCGACTACCGCACCGGCGTGATCTCACGCTCTCGCCTGCGCTCTTCGGCCGGACACGTGCGGTAGTGCCCCCCCCCCCCCCGTCCCGCCCGTGTCGTTCCCGTCGTTGGGGTGCCACAAAGCACCGTACTTCCACGTCCAGCATGATTCGGTCGCATACCGGCGCCAATTTGTGTGGGGGGATGGCCAGTCGTGGGAGAGCGGTCACTGGACAGTGGTCAGTCGTGGGAGAGCGGTCACTGGTCAGTCATGGGAGAGCGGTCACTGGTCAGTGGTCAGTCGTGGGAGAGCGGTCACTGGTCAGTGGTCAGTCGTGGGAGAGCAGTCACTGGTCAGTGGTCAGTCGTGGGAGAGCAGTCACTGGTCAGTGGTCAGTCGTGGGAGAGCAGTCACTGGTCAGTGGTCACTGTCAGTCGGGGGCCATCCCTAGCTGGAGTGGCTGCTGAGCTGGAGGACGCTTGGCCGGCTAGTCTGTTAGCTAGTTGCTGCGTGGGCGCTCTTTGCCGCCCTCCGGGTGCCAGGTGGTACGTCTCGTGCAGAGTCAGACGGCGCGTCAACTTTGTGCTGCCGGTGTAGAAATTCGGTAACTTGTTTCGGTTGTTTGTTCCTCAGTGCGCTTATTATGTGTGGTGCGGACGGGACGGGCTGAACCGAGCCGAACCAGCGTTGGCAGTGGTTACTGGTTATGGCCTCACACTAATGTGATGTCGTTTTGTATTGTATACTACGTACATGCACATTGCACGCTGATGAGGTGGCTGCAGTCATGCTGTACTGCGTGTACGATTGCGATAACTGGCTGCCGCGTCGGCGCGCACCCCACTCGTGCGAGCTGGCGGCCATGTACCTACCTGCCTACATATGCAAGGAGGCAAATGTATATTGTAGATGCTGGCATACCTGCAATTTGGCGGCTAGCAGGCCACTAGTTGTACTCGGGCGCAGTACTATCAGGGCTTCGTAGCTATAGCAGCGCATCGGCGGTCGGCACGGAGCGCTCCAAAGTGGTCTTCAAAATCACTTTCAGGCCCATCGGCTATTTTTCCTCGATAATTTAGTCACACGCCGTAGAAATGCATAGAATATTCTCAGGATCGCTTGTCATTTGCGATTAAAAGGACCGGCTCCCACCTTCAAAAAAGTCAATAAATTGGCATGAAAGTGATGTAGCGTGGTTCAGAAGGAGCAAAAATAAATTTACCGAATTTCGCTGACAAATATTCACCGGTTTTTGAGATATTAGCCCCCGCCGGCACAGGCCATTTCGCGTCCTTCGACAGCACAAGCGTACGACCCCCCCCCCCCCCCTCGCATTTGGCCCCTGATCGAGCTAGGCTTCGCGGAAAACGGAGCGTGCTTCCCATGACGAGAGGAAGCCGATGATACCCAATTTTAAGGTCCTAGGTCATCGGTTGCCTCCAGGTCAAGTCAATGACCCAAAAGTCGGGAAAATTTGGACCTGTTAGATCGTCGTTAAGTGTGGCTGCTTTGGGGTTTTTCGGGGTGCTGATCACGAATATCATGTTGATTTTGATCGCAGCTGATGTCTTCATGCATTTAGACCAGGTGGGGTCAGGTCAGGTCAGGACAACCAGTAGGGATCCTGCCGGGTATTCGTAGTACTTGTCAACCGCGTCTGACAGCTTCGTGACATGTTACGAAGGCACCAAAACTACTTCGTAAATGTTCATATAGCTGCTAAATTCGAATTCAGCAAAAAAATAGTCTAGAAACACATGAGAAAATCGAAAAAGTGTACCGAGGTCATCAAAGGTCAATGACCTGACCTGATCTCCAGGTGACCTTGACATCCATCCTAATGCATGGGAGCAACATCAAATCACATGTCTGAACGCTTGAAACCATGAAAAGACTACAAACGCGCGGCTAATGCGAGCCAACATACTAATCGCGATTCGCGATAACTGCCGACATGCCAGTTAGGTAGGGGAAGGTGGGGTAAGACGAACCAGCAAGGTTCGAGGCCGCATATCTCGCTACACTGCTCTCTTAACTCATATTGTTTATAGTCAGAGTCAGAGTCAGTCATTTATTAGAATTCTCCACATGGTGGGTATTACGAATTCAGTCATTGTACACTGGTAAAAGCATGGTTAAAAATGAGACACATTGCAAGACCTAAAACATTTGGTTTAACCCTCGCCCGTATTGGTGTTTTTCCAGCCGCGAACGTATAAGGGGGGGTGGGGGTCCGTTGGACCCCCCCCCCCTTGCCGTTTCGCCCCTGATCGAGCTAGAGCTTCGCGGAAAAAAGGAGCGTGCTGCCCGTGACGAGAGGAAGCCGATGATACCCAATTTTAAGGTCCTAGGTCATTGGTTGACCTTGCAGGTCAGGTCAATGACCCAAAAGTCGGAAAATTGGGACCTGTTAGAACGTCGTAAAGTGTGGCTGCTATGGGGTTTTTCGGGGCGCTGATCACGAATATCATGTTAGTTTTGATCACAGATGATGTCTTTATGCATTTAGTCCAGGTCGGGTCAGGTCAGGTCAGGTCAACCAGAAGGGGTCCTGCCGGGTATTCCTAGTAGGTGTCAACCGCCTTTGACAGCTTCGTAACATGTTACGAAGGCACCAAAACTACTTCGTAAATGTTCAAATGGTTGCTAAATTCGAATTCGGCTCCAAACAGGGCATATTTTAACAAATTTTTACTGCGTCCCAAAGTTGAGCAGAGGGCACGTGCTACGACTAAGGGCACAGGGCAAGGAACAGGGTAGGGCACTGAGGAGGGCAGAAAGTAGGGCACGACAGGTTACAGGGCATGGCACAGGACATTTTAGAGGTCAGGGCACACAGCAGGGCACAGTTTAGGGAACCGGACAGGGCACAGGGCAGGGACGCAGTGGGTCAAATCAGCAGGGGCTACGTCCCAAGGCGAGGGGGCTGCGTCCCAGAATGGGACGCAGTAAGTGCCTTAAAATATGCCCTGGCTCCAAAAACTGGCCTAGAAACATGTAAAACTCGAAAAGTGAACCGAGGTCACAAAAGGTCAATGACCTGACCTGACCTTCAGGTGACCTTGACACCCACCCTTATGCATGGGGGCAACATCATATCACATGTTTGAACGCTTGAAACCACGAAAAGACTGCAAACGCGCGGCTAATGCGAGCCGACATACGCCGAATCGCGATTCCGGCCAAACATGGTTTCGAAAAGTAGGTCACAGGTCAAAGGTCATTGGGGTCAGGGTCATGAAATTTTCAGGGTAGGTGTAAAATTGAGTTACGCGAGGGTACTGAAAGTTTCGTCGCGATCGGCCGCTTTTTACGCGAGTTATTCGCGAAAAACCATGGGGGGGGGGTCCGTCCGACCCCCCTATACGGGCGAGGGTTAAGACACAGCGCTGGTGATTCACTTGGACCCCTCCGGTGCCATCCAGTCTACCTGCGTGTTAATTGGGCGCTCCAGGCGGATGCAGCCCTATAAGTGAAGCTCCGCTGGGTTCTCACTAGTCGGCATCTGGGAAGATCCAGGGTGCCGGCGGCTGCTGCTCGAGAGTTGCGCAGTGAGACATCGGCTCTCCGAGTGAACATTGCGGTTATGGCAGGCGGACATTTACCGTTCACTGCTCGCGCCACTAGAGCACGGTCGTGCGTGCGTACCATGTCGTCCACTCTGTGCCAGCCTAGTGCCGCAAGTGTGGGCGAGATGTGCTCTGAGCGGCACACCCCAGACACCATTCTGGCCGCAAGGTTCAGAGACTTTTGAACTCGTTGGAGGTGCACTGGGAGGCTCCTCCCCAAACGGACAGGCAGTAATGAATGTGGGGAAGGACATGTGTTTCGACCAGCAGCTTACGTACTTCAGGAGTGAGATGATGACGCACTTTGAAGAGTGATATGGTGATGGCGTTGCACCGCCGAACGACTGCGTCAATATGGGGTTGCCAGGTCAGCTGCTGGTCGAGAAGGACTCCGAGAATTTTCACGGTTTTGGATGGCTGAATGGTTAAGCCGGATGAGATGTGGAAGTCGTGGGTTTTTGCCAAGGTTTGCTTGGTGCCAACGAGAGTAAAGGATGTTTTTCTGGGGTTCATCTTCAGGCTGTTCTGCTGGAACCAGGTTTGGAGTTCGGATAAGGATTCTTCGACGCGTGTTTTGAGGCTGGATAGGCCGACGACAGTGGGAGGGGAGTGGTCGAGGATCTGGGTGTCGTCGGCGTAGGATAATAAGCGGCCGTGGGTGAGGAAGCTGGAGAGGTCGTTGGTCACGAGGAGGAACAGGATCGGACCGAGGATGGATCCCTGGGCTACGCCGTGGGACACGTGGAGAGGGTCGGAGCCACCACCAGTAACCACCTGCCTGCGGTTGTACAGGTAGCTCGCAAACCATGCAGACGAAACACCATACCACTCCAGCTTATTCAGCAGGAGGGCGTGGTTCACACTGTCAAACGCCTTACTGAGGTCTATTGAGGCTAGCGACACGACATGGCAATCATCGACATGTTTATCTATCCAGTTTACCGCGTCGAGCATTGCGTGTTCAGTTGAGTGAGACGGTCTATAAGCGTACTGGTGAGGAGATAAAATGTTGTTCTCGGTCAGATAAGACATCAGCTGAATGGCCACCACCTTCTCCAGGATTTTTGAGAGGACTGACAGTATGGAGATGGGTCTGAAATTGCTGGGATCTGACTGATCGCCTGATTTGTGGATGGGGATGACGCGGGCGAGTTTCCAAGCTTCCGGGAACCCAGCTGTGACGATGGAGCGGTTGATGAGATGAAGGAGATTTGGCCCTATCACCGGAAAACAGTTGACGATGGCGTGAAGCGGCACTCCGTCCACTCCGGCGGCGCGAGAGGAGCTCATGGAGCCGATGGCCTTCGAGGGCTCTGGCAGGGTGACCGGCCTGAGCTCCAGCGCGGCCGGGCGCAGACCCGGGGCGGCCGAGGCCCCGGCGCCGACGACATATTATATATATACGACATATTATAGTCTTCCGAATGCTCAATCCTTCCTCGATTGATATGTGGCAAGAATGAATTTTAAATTCAAGAAATACTAGATGATCAGTTCAGCTGAGCGCGCCGCCGTGTGCGGTCGCGAGCGCTGCTCGCTCCTCTCCGGTCTCCCCCTCGGCCTTTGTTCCTTGCGATTGTGTGGGAGGGAGCGAACGTTTGAACGATTGGCAAGTGAGCTGTGAGAGTGAGCTTTGGAGGGGCGAATCTGTGCGAGAGTGGACAGTGGAGTGCGCGTCCTGACTGTGTGAACTGTGGTGTTCCCACCGACGGCAACAAACACTGACTGACCATGCATCGAGACGTCGCCCGGCTGCTGATCCTACTCGCCGTGGTGCGCGTGCTCTCTCTCGCGTGCATCCCAGCAGCTGCACCGTCGACAGCGGAGTCGTCGCGCCGTCGGGAGCCGGATCGGCAGCTGCGACACCACGTCACCCGCAGACGACCGGCCGACCCGCGGCCGTCTGGCCTGCCCTTGGAGTCGCGGCCCTCTCGGCCCGGCGCGGCCGAGCCTTCCCCGGGCCGCCCGGCGCCGCCTCGGGCTGGCCGGGGTCACCGGTTTGTTCGGCTGACCGGTGACCTCTCGGCGGCTGACACGGCCCTGGCCTGCGGTCACGTGACCCGTCCTGCCCTGCGACCCACGGCGTGTCCAGCCGACCCTGGTGGCGTGACGCCGGCGGTCCGGGGCCGCCCGGTGCAGCGGCCGGCTGACCTGTCATCTGCTCCTGTCAGCCGCGGCCGCCCCGCGGAGCGGCGCAGCGGCGGCCGGCGGCCCCAGCGGCGCGGGGCGCGCGGACGGGGGTCTCGGCGCAGCTCGCGGCCTACGTCGGCGAGCCGCGGCCTGCTGATCGGCGCGCTCAACGTGCAGTCTCTGCGGCCGAAGCTCCTGGAGCTGTCAGAGGTGCTCCACAGACAGAAATACGACATCGTGCTTTTAGCAGAGACCTGGCTCAAACCGACCGTGCCCAACCGCCTGCTGGTCATTCCTGGCTACTCTGTCCACCGCGAGGACCGTCCCGATGGCCAAGGCTACGGGGGAGTGGCAGTCGTCGCCAGGGAGGACCTGACCGTGACGCCACTCAAGCCGGCCACCCAGCGCCCGCCCGACAGCCGACTGGAGACCATCTGGTCGCTGGTGAGAGCGGACCGTGGGCGCCGGCTCGTCCTGTGCTCTCTCT